CCAGCGGATTATCAATTTTTTGGTGAGGGAGGCATGGGAAATAACTACAAGAAGGTTCAAATGTAGCAAAAGTATCAAAGATAGACGCGGGGTGACCAACAGTCCCAGTTTAAGCTCTGAAAGCTCTACATCCTCGGGGAATCCTTTGGTCCCGAGTAAACCAGGACAGCTGGTCACTGTAGAAAACAGCGTGAAAAGAGAGAGGGCGCCAGGTTTCTGGCTAATTGATCAATGAACCACCTTGGGGAGGTGAAGGTTGGCTGTAGGTGGCCAGAGAGGGGGTGTCTCTATATGGGGAAGGGAGACGCTTCCCTTGGAAGCATTAAACCCACAGGCCCCCCACCCCCCATCATCACCCTGGTCCTGGTTGCCCCTGGGTAGTCGTCATCTGTCCCTGGCTTGTAGCCTCTGCATAGCCCCCAGCAAAACTGCAGCTCCTCCTCACCTCTCAATGACCCCTGGGGGGGGGCATGCTGGGATTCTACCCGCTTCACAGATAAGAGTGCATCTGGCATCCTCCTTTGTCTTACAGCACAGGCCCCAGTGGAGCTGGGCTTTGGAGATGTAGCCAAGCAGCTGTCTTTAACCCGTTCCTCTCAGCATGCCAGCTTACGCCCTGCACATATCAGCCCCTCTCAGCATGCCAGCTTACGCCCTGCACGTATCAGCCCGTTCACCCACATTCTGCCCACCTGCCACAGCCTTGAACACCGATGGGGGGGTCAGGGAGGATCAAGTTGTGGGTGATATGGCTCCTGGCATCTTGCCCTCTGGGAGGAGACATCTAAGCGCCACCCCACCTCCGCTCACTGGCCACGGCAGGGTCAGGGGGAGCGTCCGTGTTGTCCCACCGATGCCACACGTCTGCCAGACCCCACGGCTGCCCTCGAGCCACCAGTCACGCTCAATGCCGCCTCTGTGGCGAGGTGGCTCGTGAAAAGCCCCTGTGTTGTGGCTCCCGGCACCAGTGAAGTCTTCGATACAAGGTCTGCATTCATGCCAGGCTGGCCCTCCTCAGCCGCACAGGCAGCCCCTGCTCCGTGAGCAAAGGCCTGGGGTGTGGGGTGGGCTGTCCCCTCACCTTCCCCCAAGGCCAAGCTCCCTCCGTCCACCCAGCTCCACCTTCTGTCTGCCTCCTGGAAAACGCTGACAGGTGCTTAGAGCAGCAGGACCAGGAGCCCACACTAGCCAGCGCGTCTTTGGGGTCTTTGAGTGGGGAAGGGGAGGGCTATGCCTCTCTGTCAACAGCCGTCCAAGCTCCTGGCTGTCACCAAATGTCAATGANTAGATAGATAGATAGATAGATAGATAGATAGATAGATAGATAGATAGATAGAAGATAGATACAAGAGGAGGTTCGTCATAGGAATTGGCTACGGCCGTGGTGGAGGCCAAGAAGACCCATGATCTTCTCTTTGAAGATGGAGAACCAGGAAAGTCGGTGGGGTAATTCCGTCTGAATCTGAGGGCCTGAGAATGGGGGCAAGAAGTGGTGGGGGTGGGGCTGTGCCAGTGGCCTCCGTCCTGGTCTGAGTCTAAAAGCCTGAGAACCAGGAACACGGACGTCTGATGTCCAAGCACAGGAGCAGACAGATGGGGCTGTCAGCTCTGGCAGAGAGAGCAAATCCGCCTTCCTCTGCCTTTTTCCTTCTATTCAGGCCCTCAAGTGGGTTGGATGATGCCCACCCACATCGGTGAGGACAATCTTCTTTACGCAGTCCGCTGATTCAAATACTAATCTGCTAATCTCCTCCAGAGACACCCTCATGGACACAGCCAGAAATAATGTTTTACCAGCTCTCGGCATAACTCAGCCCAATCAAGTTGGCACATAAACGTAACCTTCACACTAGTGGTTGCTGCTGTGAAGGTCACCTGAGGGAGGTGGTTTAGCATAGAGGTTCAGGACACAGTCTCTGGAGCAAGGCTCCCAGATTCTTCTACCTGTGCAACCCTAGAGAAGTTACTTAACCGCTCTGTGCCTCAGTTTCCTCAAATGTAACATGGGGATTACAATAATAGCACCCACCTAGAGTTGTTGTGAAGATTCAACAAGTGAATACATGTAAAATATCTAAGATAGTGTGTGCAAAGCACTTTATAGGGTGACTATCACTTTGGAAAATGTTGGATACAGATAAGTATAAGGTTAGTACATGAAAATGTACTAATCTTATAAGGTTACTTCAAGAAAAGCTGGGAAACTATTTTTGTGACTTAGAAACTGGAAAGGAC